AATTAAACCGTATTGAATTGGTTGCCCAGTTGGGCCACCATCCAAGATCTGAATTATTCACTTATTATAATTTTCATTACCTGAGAGATATTTTCAAATAGCACAATGAAAGATACTGAATATAAACGAATATTTCAGTGAATTAACCTCGTATCTGCAAATGGGCATCGGTACGATTTGTGTAGCAAATGCAGTGGTGATTTCAGACACTTCGATTTGTGTGCTAACAGTCTTATCAGCCTCCATGTAGAAGCATTGTATACGATAAGCTCTGTCGACCTTAGTAACGAAGAGCGGATGGAATGAGATGACAACAATGGTACTCACAAATATACCACGAGGATTCAATGACCGAACTCGAGCCACATTACAGCTGTCGAATGGCAGCTCGATGCCAGCTACCTGACGTCCGCCTTCATCATTGCGACATCCTTCTTGATCATACAACCCCTTCACATAAACATGTCCGTCGAACGGATTCCTTGTGTTGAAGTTGACTGTTATTGACGTCGGTCCACACTCTATTTCTGGCTCACCTTCAACACCGTTGTCCACCGGGATCGCACGGGTGAGATCAGCAATAAGTAAGAAGGCGACGATCAGAATACCATGTAAGTACATCGTTGGATCTACTGTAATCGTTTCTAAAATTATCCTTTATGTAGATAACGCTATCACTTTTGTTGTTGTTATGGATGGGAATGTTTGTGGATCTGATCCTGGTTATTGCCTTTATATAGTCGGTTCATTCGTTCTCGATTGCATGCGATCGTCACTGATCCTAACAAAAAGGGGTCGTCTTCACTGAGCATATCGAACAATCACATATTCTGTTCTCTTTTTTCGCATCATTTTGTCGTGGATAAATGTTCATTTCTGTGCATATCTTTCTGTTTGTTTCTGTTCCCATAATGGTATGATGATGTTCATTTTCTTTTTGTCCATTTGCTTTTTTGTCCATCCATCTAACATTCCATAATTAATCAATCAGAAAAATTTTATAATTCAGCTATTAATTCTGTGAAAAAATCGAATTTATTCGTATAAATTTGGAATCCTCCAATTCTTTATGCATTGATGCGAAAACAGACTCTGTTTACAAATCACATAAAAGTTTTTAGATTGATGCATGAATATCATAAAATATTGCATATGACTGCCTGACGGACAAGCATGAATAATTACATTGATAATGACAGAATCGATGCTCTCAGTTTTGTGAGTAAAGTAAACCACAAGATTATCATGGATTAACGTGGTGAGTTTGTGAAAGCATTGTTGTACAGTTGATACTGCTTGATCAATTCGACGTATCAGCGAACTCACAGCTTGATATCTTCTAGCAGCAAAACTGTACATCTCATGAATGAATATAGCCTGAGGAAGGCAGGTGAAGAGACTTTCATTGTTTTTGCTTTTAGCAGGTCATTGAATTTTATTTAATTGAAAGACTTTTACTTATTGTTTCGTTTTTGCTGGCAGTTTTTTTTTTGATTATGCCGTCAAGATTGGAAGAATTAAAAATCCTTATCAATTTATTGCAATTTTGGATGGTGTTTGATCAATCCCGAGGATGAATTTTAAAAAATTCATCGTAATTCATCTATCAAGAATAAACAGACTGGTGAAGAGGTGTGCGCCAGCAATGTTCTTTTTTTTTAAAATCAGATTTAGTTAGATCAACTTGATTGTTCAATATCACTATCTTATTAAGAATGTAGTTACTAATTAATTATTTTATCACAATCACGCATCATGAAATGGAGAGTTTTTATAAGAGAGGAACAAATGGTAGAGATGGTTTCGTTTCTAATTTGTCCTCAATTCTTGTTTGTCACTGAAAAATGAATGTGTTCATTTTTTTGGCTGACGCATCCAGCATTGTTATCGTCTATCACGGCTATGCTGGCGATGGATATTTTCGAAACAAGGGGGTGCATCAATACACATCGTCGATGAATGAAAAACAATCCAGCACTGTATTCGTTTTCGTTCTTATCACTGCATGCACACACTCAATCGCCTGCGGCTATTCTCCCTTCGAAAGAAGACATGCCTATTCACTAGCAATCTCCACCCTTTTCAGTGGCTCTTTCGGTCACTTCTTCTCACTCACCCTTTCCTCTCTTTTGTTCGATTCGATTCTCTTTCTTTCATTCTATTTCTTTTCTTGTTGTTCTCCTTATCTTCACTACCTTTTTTTGATTTCTCTTCTTTGCTCTCCAAACTTTTACTCCTCTTCCCCCGTCTTGCTGTTTCCTCAGGCCCCGTTCAGTGCTTTCACCTTTTCATATGAAACCTCTCCTAGTTGTTCTGCAGCATATTCCAAGGAATATCATCCATGATCACACAAACATGTACATGCATGATTATCTATGTGTTTTACTGCACCGAAATGAATCGCATCAACCGATCTACCCAATAAAACGTTTCGTTGAATCTTTTGTTATGCGTACGTAATTCGGCATTGTGAATAATGGAAACAGCTTTATGCAACGTTCTACTGATTTATGAAAGATGAGAAAATTGTTTATGAATGGCGCAATGGTTGAATATATGAATGATTATGTAAATAAGATGAGACAATGATCAATTCATTGAACAATTCCAAAGCAAATTTTTCACACTTGATATTGGGATGGAGAATACGCACTGTTCGCCATCGTGTTATTTTAACAGAACCAATGC